TGAAGAAAGAAAGAAAGGGAGAGAGGGGGATCGAGGCGTCCCGCCCCCGCGCGCCGTGGCTGCGGGGCGGCGAGCGGGGACACCTGCCCGCACAAAGGGCCGGGAGGGTGTTCCTGCCGCCCCGCAGCCGCCGCACGCCCAGCGGGCAGCGCTGCCCGGGGGATGCCGGAGGGCGCCCCGTGCCCGTCCCCACGCCCACACGCCGAGTGTCACAGAGGGGTCGCCAGCCCTGGAGAAGCGCTCGCGAGGCGCTGCCGGCACGCCCCCTCCGCCGCGGAGCTGGAGCGGGGCTGGAGCGGAGCGGCGCAGGGAGGGGGTGGGACGGGACAGGCGGCGGGCACCTCCCGCGGAGCGCCGGGCCCCGCACTGCTCACGGCGCTGAGTTAGCGCTGCCGCCCAGCCCGAATTCCCCGGCGCGCAGCGAGGAGAAGTGTTGCCCTTATCGCGTTTTTACCCTCGACCCCTCTCCTGCGTTTCGCTACCTGCCGCTCCCGCACGCCACGGCCGATCCCGATCCCGAAGAGGCTGCGGCTGGGGGCCCCAGAGAGCGGGAGGGGCCGCGGGACGAAGAAGCGGTGCGCAGCCGGCAGGCAGGTACCGGCCCTGGGGCGGAGGTGCTGCCGCGCCTCTGCCACTGCGCCCCGCCGAGGAGGGCCCCCCCTCCCCGGGAGGTGTAAGGTGCTCTTCGGGAATTGCTGTTTGATCTCATGTGCCCCTCCCTCTGCCCTGCCATGATCAGTAATGAAGAAAAGCAGGGCGGCGAGGTCAGGCGCTGTGCAGCACCCCTGAAGGCCTCGTGGCATCAACCCCCCCCTCCAATATTCAGGTAAAGGGGGCAGTAAGACCATAAAAACAATGGCAGTGTTACTTCCCAAAGGTTCCTCACATCATTCATCAGGCCAGGGACCAGAAAAACTATTAGGCAAAACAGCTGTGAAAATTTTTGTTCTCCACAACACCAGTTAAAAACACCTTTTAAATCAGAAGCAAAATAATGGTTGGATACAGCTAAAATATCTAAGATAGAGGTCTAAAAATAAATTGCACATGTTTGCAAGAAAATTTATGGTAGGATCCTTTAGCAGAGTTTCTAGCTGGATTGAGAACAGGCTTTGAATATTAAGATCTCACGCTGGACTCAAAGAACACTGCTGTGAAGTGCTGAGAAAAATCCTGAATTCTCAGTACCTCCCTGGGTAGGCCACCTACATTACTGAGACTGTTTACAAAGATACAAATGAAATTATAGCCTTGCTTGCAAAAATAATACATTAGATCCTCATGCAGCCTCTGGTCAAGACTGGATAAAATACTGCTTTCCTCTAGGTTGACGACATCCAGTGACATCAGTGGAGTTTCTCACTTTTACACTTCATAAGTAGTAAATCACGCTGTTTTCCCCCTGCAGCCCCAAAGCTATGATCAAATCTATTCTACCCTATACCACCACCGTCTACAGAAATGGAGGCTCTCAGTGGGTTTGGTGTCAGGGATAAGTGCTGGCTTTTGCTTACACTCTTGGTATTCATGTGTAAAAACTGGGAGTGGGAGCAGTCCGTAGCTTCTGGCTGCTCCACCTGTCAGCATGGTATCCAGCAGGATTTCAACCCCCAACTGTCGTATTTTACATGTAAATTTCAATTTGTTTAAACTACAAAGCTAGTAAAATATTCTCATGTTTCCAGAAACAAATGAAACAAACAAACCCCAAACTGATAGGCAAACACAGAAAGAAAAACCTTAAGAAGCTTTTCACTTGGTTGTGTTCAGCTCTGTAAGGTCTTGACCATCATGAATAAAATTCATCTTCAGGTGGAGAGTTAAGTGTCTTCCTGATCAGTATCTTCCTGATCAAAGCAGCCACATCAATTTAATCCCGGTTCAAAAAGTGTGTATATGGGATGGACAGAAGAGTATTATTTCCTGAACAAAAGCTTCCCAAAAGTGAAATGTAGGGCTGCTTAATAAAGCAAGTGTAAGAACACGATGTGAAACTATAAAAAGCGTCTTATTACAATTTCTTAGCTATTTCCTCAAAGTTAATTGCTTCCACCCCTCGTCCTCCAGTGGCGGACTGAAAGTACCTTCCAGCTCCCCAAATTTTTAAGCCTAGGCATAAAGCGCGAGCATTCAGCTTCCGTCTAAAAATGAAGTTTTAAGAGTATTGGCAAGGCTTCTCCGCCTTTTACAACTTAAAAAGCCTCGAAACTCCATTCCGTCTCCTGCAGGCTCGGTGAGGCCGGGGATGCGGCACGGGACGCGAGGTGGCAGCGCTGAGCCTCTTCTGCCAGACGTGGGAAAACGCGGAGCTAGCGAACTCGCGATTATTTTTATAATTATTTTTTTCCTCCCTTGTGGTTTTACGGAGCAGCATAACGCTGCAAGTTTCTGACTGAAATTCGGTGGGTTTGCATCAAAGAGCGGCAGTGCCCACGCAGTCAGCTGTACGCCGCCAGAACAGAGTGCGAGTGATGCCAAACCCCGATGCGAGGTTTAAGGGCAGGGGCGCTGAGAACACCCTTCTCACACACCGGGGACCTGCGGTTCGCCTTGCGCATGGAGCAAGAGACATTGCTCAGGAACCACACTCTGGACAAATCTACTGCAGGACTGGGCACCGCAAGCATTGATTCCAGCATTCCTATCCCTGGAAGTGCTCAAGACGGGGTTGGATGGGGCCCTGAGCAACATGATCTAGTGGGTGGCACCCCAGCCCATGGCAGGGGGGTTGGAACTGAGTGATCTTTAAGGTCCCCTTCGATCCAAACCGTTCTGTGATTCTGTAATTCTATGATTGATTGCAGGCTCTGTGTGTGAATCAGCACGCAGAAAACGTCTTAAGGACACGCAGATTTAGCTCCGCTCTTTCCTCTCCCCAACCCCCCTCCTTCTGAGGATTACCAGCGCACAGGCTCCTTTAACTGCAGCCCTTGCCGTTGATCTTTTCCACACCCCCAGCTCCGCTGGCTGTGGGAAATGCTTTGCAGCCTGCCCCGTCTGAGCTCTCGGGAGCAGACCTTCCCTCCCGTGAGCGTGTTCCTGCGTGCCCTGGCCGGCGCGGAGCGCTTCCCTGCCCTGGCGCTGCGCAGCCTGGAGCCCCCGCAGCTGCTGCGGCCGCCTCTCGCCGCCTGCAGCCTCCCCGCTCCGCAGCCGCCCCGGCCCGGCCAGCTCGGCTTCATTCATTCCGCGCTGTGACCCCAGCAGCGCCCAGCGATGCTCCGCGGGCGGGTGTGCCCGCTCTCCGCGTCCCCCGGGGTCCCCACGGCGGGGCAGGGCAGGGACTGAACCCGCGTGGGCCGTGTTCACCTGCACGGGAGGAACAGGCTCTGACCCGGGCGCGTCCGGAGCAGTGACATCCGAGGGTCGTCCAGCGACCCTAGGGGACACGCTGCGGGGAATGAATGAAAAGCCATTCACGGACATCTTGCTTCCCGCGTCCCCGTGAGAGGCACCCACAGGGTGGGGAAAGGTGGCTTCTTAAATCTTACTTAACTTGAAGAAACCTCTCTGTTATTTCTGAGTGTTTTCCCCTCTGCGACCAAAATTCACCTCTGTAACGCATATTTTTCCTGATGTTCTGTGCCGCAATTGAAATAGAGGTGTATTTGGGTTATTTTAAGGCT